ATCCATTTTTACTTTTGTTACCTGCGATTTTGGTGTCCTATCTGGGAAATCCTGCCAAACCCAAAGTCATGAAGCTTTTCCCTCCATTTTCTCCTAAAAGTTTTATCGTTTAGGTCTTAGGTCGTTTTAAGTTGCTATTTGTATATGTATATGGTGTAAGCGTTCAAGTTCATTCTTTACATATGGATATCCAGTTTTCCCCTCACCATTTGTTGAAGAGACTGTCCCAACAACAATGATGATGGATGGATGGATCCACTGGATGATCTTGTCTCCTTATTGAATCACTTTTTACTATACATGTGAGGGTTTATTTCTGGGGTTTCTGTGCTATTCCATTGTTCTACATGTTTGTCTTTATGCCAGTACAGTAGTGTTTTGGTTATTTTAGCTTTGTAGTTAAGTTTTGAAATCAGAAAATTGAGACCTCCAATTTTGTCATTATTTTTCAAGATTATTTGGCTGTTTGGGGTCCCTTGAGGTTCCATATGCATTTGGGGATGGATTTTACTATTTCTCTAAATAATGCTGTTGGGATTCTGATAGGGATTGCATTAAATCTATAGCTCACTTTGGGTAATACTGACATCTTAACAACATTAAGACTTCCAGTCTATGAACATGGAATGTCTTTCCACTTATTTATAACTTCTTCCTTTTACTAATATTTTATAGTTCTCACTTTGTAAATCTTTTGCTTTCTTAAGTTCATTCTTAAGTATTTCTTTGTGACGCTATTGCAAATAGAGTCATTTTCTTAATTTCCTTTTTGGATTGTTCATTGTTAGGGTATAAAAACACAACTGAATTTTGAGTGTTGGTTTTGTATTCTGCAACTTTGCTGAATTCATTTACTAGTTTTAAACATTTTTGTGTGGAAGCTTTAGGATTTTCTAGGTATACCATCATGTCATCTGCAAACAGACATGACTTTTAATTCTCAATTCCTGCTAGGGTGTCTTTTATTTCTTTTTCTTATCCACTTGCCCTGGCTAAGACTTCTGTAGTACTACATGTAATGAAAGTGGTGAAAGTGGACATCCTTGTTTCTGATCTTAAAAGAAAAGCTTTCAGGGATCCCTCAGTGGCTCAGGGGTTTGGCGCCTGCCTTCGGCCCGGGGCGCAATCCTAGGGTCCCGGGATCGGGTCCTGCGTCAGGCTCCCTGCATGGAGCCTGCTTCTCCCTCTGCCTGTGTCTCTGCCTCTCTCTCTCTCCTCTGTGTCTCTCATGAATAAATAAGTAAAATCTTTAAAAAAAAAATAAAAAGAAAACAGAGAAAAGCTTTCAGTGACATCTGAGTGGTTCAGTCAGTTAAGCATCTGACTCTGGATCTCAGGGTCATGAGTTCAAGCCCCGTATTCAAAAAAAAAGAAATAAAAATTTTCAGTCCTTCACTGTAGATTATGATGTGATCTGTGAGTTCTTCATAGATGGCCTTTATTATATTGAGGTTGGTTCTCTCAGTTTGTTGAGTGTTTTTTAATCACCAAAGGGTATTGCATTTTGCCAAATGCTTTTTCTGCATCAATTGATATAATCATGTGGTTTTATAACCTTTCATCCTGTTTGAGTAAACCTCTTTTTTCTTTATCCTCAGCCTCCCAGTGTTTGAAGAGGAAAGAAGAAAGAATGAATTCAGTTAATGCAGTCACGAAACATTCTCTATCTCTTAATCCTCCTCCAATATAAACCTTTGCTGAACACACACATCCCATGGTATATGGAGGCTGCACAGTGAGCCCTACACCCAAGGCTCGGGACCAGCTGTTCAGAAGAATTCAGACAACACAAGCCTTACTCTGATTCCAATTATAATGTATGGGTTTCTCCCTTACAGTATCAAGCAATTCTGGGATACCAGCTGGGTGTCCTATAATTCAACTCAATTTTGACATTATCTAAGTGGAGACAACATGACATCCACTGCCTATGGCTTCTGTCCCAAAAAGGCCACCCTCCACTTCAGATGCCAATTGCATGTCCAGGTTGTCTCCCAGGCTTCTGACAGACTATTAATCAGAGGTTCCCAGAGCCCCCTCCCCCTCGAGTTCCATTAATTTGCTAGAGTGAATCACAGAACTAAAAAAAACAGTTTACTCATTAAATTGCCTATTTACTATAAAAGGATATGACTCAGGGACAGCCCAATAGAATAGATACATAGGGCAAGGTAGAGGGGAAAGGCATGTCCTCCCTGGATGTGTACCCTCTCAGCACTTCATGAGTTCACCTACCTGGATGCTCTCTGGATCCACTCTTCTGGGCTTTTATGGAGGTTTCACTACACAGGCATGACTGACTAAAACACTGGCCACTGGCAATCGAACTCAATCACCAGCCCGTCTCCCCTCCAAGGGAAAGGGGAGAATCAGGTGGCAGGGGGGTGGACCTCAAAGTTCCAACCCTCTAACCACATGGTTGGTTCCCCCCTCCTAGGTAACCTACGATCTTTCCAAAAGCCTCATTAACAGCAAAATACACCTTTATCTTTCTCATCATATAGGAAATCCCAAGGGTTTTTAGGAGCTCTGCGAGAAAACTCAGGTGAAGACCGAGCATATTTCTTCCTAGAAGTCACAATATTGTAACATGACTTTTGGCTGTCCCTGTTCACAGAAAACCAAGACTTCAATTACAGAACAGGTTTATTTTTAAAACATCAAACAAAATGATCATATAGAACTGGCTATGAGTGGATAAAGGGATCCAGCTTACTGAAGGTCACGTATCTATCACTGAAAATCCCTCCCTGAACAAGCAGCACAGGACGTGTTCTGTTTGCAGGGAGCGCTTCGCCTGGGTGAATATGGCTGAGGTGTGGATTTGGGAAGCACAAAGCTTGTCATCACCTTAGGAGCGGGCTCTTAAGCTCTCCCCGAGACTTCCCAGTAGTGTCCCCTCCCTTGAGATACTAATGGACCTCCTTATTCTTTTCCCAGGCTTCCTGGCTAATTAAGTCTGCCTCTGTAACTAAAGGATATAAAATATTCTCGAAAGCTGCAACATCCATCATGCTTTTGATGGTGTCGGAGAAATACTCCATTTGTGACAGCAATGCCCAGACTTCAATGATACAACGCACAACTGTGCTCCTGGGGGAATGAAAGGAGATACGCATGAGCAGGGAGCCTCTTTTCCCCTGGGGCTGACTTTGAAGCTGTGTGAGTAGCTGCCAGATTCGATTGTCACTTAGAGTGCCCAACAAACAGCTCTCAGCTGATAAAGAGCTGCCTGGCTTACAGACAGCAGTGCCAAGGTGAAGGGACAACCACCCTATTTGGAAGGCCAGCAACGAACCAGTCTGGTGGGCTGAACTGCACATCTTTTTCTTGGCAGTAATGGAAGACTTGAACATAACAAGAGTCCCTCCATCTGGGTTTCTAGATTCAGGGGTCATGGCCAGTGGCCAAATGGCAGTGGAAAGCTGGCCTACAAAAGGGATGCCTTTGTGGGGCACAGCCCTGTGGAAATCACTAATGGGAATTTGAGGGGGGGGCATTAGAACAGGACAGACTAATGCTCATGAGAAGAAATGCCTTCCACATTTGGAAGGGAACTGAAATCGGCCCAGGGTCCTCATCCAGGGGTGGCTTCCTGGGCACAGTAACACGAGTGGATGGACGTAGGGGGTCTGCAGCAATGCAGAAAGGTGGTGAATCTCGCCATAGTCCTCTCGCACCCATGGAGGCACAAAGTGCCTACAAGAACTGTTCTGTCTGCCCACGAGACAGACAAATCCTGAAGATGGCTCGGGGCAGGTTCCCTGGTGGGACGGCCTGGATCACAGCTGGTGAGTGGTCTTGAGGACCACAGCCCTGGGGAGCTAAAATGGGCCCTGACAGGAACAGACTGGGATTCTGAGTGGGCTCCGTTTACCCGGTGATACATGAAGGCAGCCAGAATGCTGTAAACGAACCGGAACAGAACCCACAACCATTTGGATCCGAGTCACATTCTATCAGACGAGGGAACATACTGATATCTAGCCCATAATCTCCGACAACAGGAAGTGAGATTTCTGCAGGCAAACAGCTTGATAGGAAGCCAGAATGGGCATTGGAAACACTGACTGTCGAAAACTGGGAGACAGGGCCTGCAAGGCAGGAAGCATGTAACTGCTGACAGGACGGGGGTTCCTGGGAGTCCTCCCCCGCCCCGTCACAACGCTTTCTGCACATAAGTGGGGGAAAAGTGGTCAGGGGGTGGGAACAAAGTTTCTGGAACCCTGATCCAGGAGCTCCATGGGGAGCCCCAAAGTGGGCTTTGAATGGATGTGGAAACTGGAAATGTGCAGTTTGACAGGATTACAGGAGCAGTGGGGACAGAGACTAGAATGTTTCATAGGGCTTGATTGGAAGAGCTGGTGGCCGCTAGCACGTGTTTTGTGGGAACGGTTATTATGTCTCCCAGGGAGTGATTCCCTTGCCTGCCCATAGCTATAAATCCAAACCTGCTGGGGAGGCCCCAGTGAGGAGTGTAAGGGTAGGTGGGGCGCAGGGGGAAGCTGGACAGGTACAGCCCCATTTGAATGGCGTTTGCAACAGTAGCTGCATCTCTCTCACTTGGACACGTGATGGCAATGGATACTATCCCTCTCTGCGGACATTCCCCAACCCAGTGCTGTAATACAGGCTTGTAAATGGGAATCTGCCAAAGTCAATGGAGGCAGGCTACCTGGGAAGCATCAAGATGGCTGGAGCCCACACAGTGCAGACAGGGGCTGGGAGGCTGGCTGGGCTGATTTTGTGTTGTATTGGGTGTGGGGTGTCCTCCAGCAACAGTGCTGGGACTCGGCTGGGAGGGGAACTTCCACTGAAGGGTCAACTTCTAACCTGCTACAGGATAGTAAACAGAAGCACCTGAGTGACTGAAGGACATGAAATCATCTTGTAAGTGAAGTGCTCATAAGGTCTCAAAGGTCCCAAGGCTCATGACTAGTTGTTAGAAGAACTTAAGACAACATGTGTCTTCCACTGGCCTCGTACACAGAAATCAAGGCTTGAATGCAAAAGTTTTATTTTTTAACTATCAAGTGACACACTTATACAAAAAGAGCTACATTGCTAAACTAGTGTCTAAAGTGCTTGAGTTCCAAGGGTATCACACACACACTGCCTGGCACGCTTATGCCCTGAGCCAGTGGTAAGGGACAGGTTTCCTTCCGGGCAGTTTGCAGGAAGGTCCCCACTCGTGTGGGAGCCCATGGCTCGTGTATGGTTCATACTGCGTGTGGCTCATCAGTGCCTAACAGAAGCGGGGTCCTGACCTCTTCTGAAGCCTCCCCACAGGCGCCTTCTTGATTGAAGTACCACTGGTTGGAGGTTTCTAGGCCCTGGGCATCTTCCCAGACCTCCTGGTTGTCTAAAGCCGCCTCTTTACTGGCCTCAGCAGAGAGTTCCAGCACCTGGGCGAAGCTCCTGCAGAAACGACAAGACGGCTGAAGCCTTTTCGCCCTTTGTGCCCGGGAGCCAGACAGAAACAGGATGTCTCAGGCTTTGGGGTGGTGATGTGGGGAAGACGGCTGCTTCCTGGGCACACATGGGAAAGCACAGACAAGTAAGAACAGAACAAATCTGAATGGAACTCAGAGAGGCCTGCAAGAACAGGACGAGGCAGGCATGAGAGGAGATGCATTTATTCACCAAATATGTAGGGAACCCCCACACCGGGTCAGGAACCACACTGTGAATGTACGGGCAACCCTCACAGAGTAAATGGTGGTGGGGAAATACATACTAAAGGAGTGCATCTGAACCTGTGACCAGCTGAACCTGTGACCCTCTGATGCGTGTGGATTTCATTTTAGGGTACACTCACAGGAGGAGGAGATGTCATGATAGGTGGCAGCTTTTTTTTAGGAGTAACATTAAAATGTTTTAGATGTTTCGGAAAGCACGTTGAGCATTACAAAGTAAAATGACATGAGATTCTTTTAGGGAAGATGAGGAGGAAAGCCCCACAGGAAAAAAAAAAAAATCCCTGGAGGGAAACCACAACAGTTAGGTAAAGGTGCCAAGGGAGTTTGTTGGGGGAGCTGGGAATGGGGAGCACTGGGAGCTGGGGGCTGCTTCCCCGTGGCACACAGTCACAAAACCCCTCAAACTACACTGTTATGACCCATACCTTTCCTATATGTATTTTATGCTTTCAATAATAAGTTCCAAGAAGATCACCCCAAGCCCTTACCTCCAGAACACGTTTAAAGCATGAACAGATTCATCCAAGAGCACCTAAGATGCTGTTACTCTGCGGAAGTAAAGGATGGGTGACACTGGTGTCCCCTTTCTATCGTGGCTGCTTGAGAACACACACGGGGCTCTGAGCTGAGTTGAAGGTGGTTTGCCCCTGCCCTCTCCCTGCCCTAGTGGACCCTGGCACCCCCGGCTTCTTCAAACACCTGCCCGCTCTCCAGAGCAAAACATGCTGCTCCCATCTTAAAATCTTTTCTGAAATTTTACCTTCGGAGCTCCAGATCCTTCTTTTGGGTCATTTCCCTGATTTCACTCAGCAGGTCCAGGGCTTTCACGTTTTCTTCTAAACTGCTGATCCCAAGTTCTCCCAGCAGATGGCAGGTGGTCGTCAATTCTCGCTGCAAATCATCTGGAGGAGAAGGGGATGGTCAGCCAAGGGTTTCACAGTGCTCTGAGCAACGGATGCGCAAGTGGGGTGTCTGGCTAGATTTTTCTTGTTCACTAGAATGCTGGAATTGGGAAGAGCTCAAAGGCAGAGAGGGTCATGGGGGATGACATTCATGTGCTGGTCCCACCTCTGTGCCCCTGTGCTAGAGATCACGATGGCTGGAAATCCTGGGACAGGCATGTCCGCCAGCCTGGCAGCCACTGGAACAGACCTGGAAAGCCACTTTGACATCCCCAACAGAAACCAGTGGAAAAGGCCAAGGAAATGTGTACTGCAAGCAAGCTAAAAACAAGCCCATAGTCCCCACTCCCCACTCCTGGCATCTCTGTACCCCTCACCCCTAAGAGAGTATAAGGAAATACTCTTAGAGAGAGTATAAGGCATATAAGGAAATCAGCCCCTCTCCACTTTTGGCCCACACCAGGCCTATACATGCTACATGTCACAACCAGACACTGTAATATTTTGAGAACATTATTCAGATTCTTCCAAATACCCATCCTCTTATACTCCTCCCTGTGGTCTCAACTGCATCCTCCCAAAAAGACGTGTTCAGGACCTAATCTCAAGCACCTGTGAACGTGACCTTACTAGAAATGGGAGTCTTTGTAGAGGTAACTGAGTTATAGTGAGCTCTCTACCCTGGCATCCTACTAACAAGAAGGAAATTCAGAAGCAGTGATGTTCAAGGGCAAGGCCGTGGAAGACACAGGCAGACTTGAGCAATGCCACCACCAGCCAAAGACTGCCAAGAATTGCAAACAACACTGGAAGCCAGGGGAGAGACACAGAATACATTTTCCCTCAGAACCTCCAGAAAAGTCCAACTCTGCTGACACCCTGATTTTTGATTTCAGGACCCCTGCACCAAAGGGAATAAATTTCTGCTGTTTTAACCCATCCAGTCTGTCATTAATTCCAGGAGCTGCAGGACACCCCTACGCTCCCCAATCCCAACTCCTGGCAGCTCCCTATGCCACTTATCAGAGATAGAGCCCAAGAATCACAGATGCGCAGCTAACTGCAGTCATTATAAAACTGGACACCTGCACGCAGATAATCATTCCACAAGGCTCATTCTACAAGACTCCACGTGATTTGCTAATTGTTTCTTATTGGGAAAAGTTGAACTAAAAATCGTCTCTGAGATTACCAATACAGCAACAACCTATGTGGAAAGTGGTGGGGGGGGGGCGGGTCTTTGTGGGAAGTTCTGGAGGGAAAGTCCACCTGATTTTAGGTGGCGATCTTTTCCTACATCAGCCTCAAACAAATGTATTTAGATGGCTCATGAGCGCCATGCCTGGAAATAATGAGACTCTACGGGAGTTGAAAGGTTGCTTTGAGAAGATACTTGCTCTAAAGAGAATTTTAAGATCAACCATGCCTGCTGATTTCAAGTGAAGGATTAGGTGGGAACCCTATGCAAGAGAGGGATCCCATAGCTCTGCATAGAAGGCAGAACAGGGGTGGGTGACCTGGCTGACTTGGTCGGCGGAGCATGTGACTCTTGATCTTGAGTTTGTGACTTTGAGCACATACAGAGTGTAGAGATCACTTAAAAATAAAACCTTAACAAACAAACAAAAAGAAGACAGGACAGGGTGAGGATCCGCATCTCTGAAGAGACTCCCCACCTCAGGAGATTGCAGCTGCTCCCCAGGAGTATCTTTCAGCAGGGCTGGAAATTACTGGGCTGGTCCACAGACCTAGCTTCAAATCCCAGCACGGTCCTTACTCGGGGTGCAACCCTGGACAAACCACAGCTTTGCCGGCCCCTTTGCCCTCTGCCATTTGATGAGAGACACACCATCTACCTAAGAGAAGGCTGTGACAGGCCACAAATGGATAAAGGTGGCTGCACACAAGAAGCACCAACATGGACTGGCTGTTCACTGGATCTACCCTTTGCCCAGTAGCCGCCCTGTTTCCTACCTAAGAACTGCTGCCCATTCCCATCCAGGTGGACTGATTTTACAGGAAGCTCATGCCTTGTGGTATCCAGGGCCATGGCGAATGTCTTGTACTGTTCCCTAAAGCGTTCGGCCACAGCCTCGTAGGGGCTGAGCATCTCGATCTGCAGGCAAGATGGAAAGATGCGTATGAGATAAGACCCAGTTGGTCACACACTAGAAGTTCACAGTACATGAGTGGTAAAGATACAGCCCTATTCTTTCAGGATTACTAAGGAATCCTCCAGGAGGCTTCTGTGGGTGTGGGAGGTTCTCTTCTTACTCTTGGCTGCCCTCCAACGGCCCAGCTGATAGCAAGGTGGCCTAGGCCTCCGCATTAGGAACATGGCTTCCAGAACATTCCAGGGCCAGGCCCTCAACTGGGATCACACTGGACACAAGACAGCTGGGCCCTCCTGCTGCAGGGCATTGAGCTGAAATGCCTGCCCCCATAAGACCCCCTCCTTTTCCCTCATACACACTGTTAAAGTCTTCATGTGGGTTTGTAGGAACGTATTTGTTTACTTGTCTTTTTTTTCCTTCCACTGTGAGTTCTATGAGGACAGAGACCCAATCTTAGCCTAGGGCCTGGCCACTGGGTGTCCCCCCCCCACATACACACAGTATGATAGGCTGAATCATTGCCGACCCCACCTTGCCCCAATTCCTCTGCAGATGTCCCAATTCCTAGCACCTCAGAATATGACCTGACTTGGAGACAAGGTCTTTACAGAGGTAAAGTAAGTTAGGATGAAGTCATACAAGTCAGATCAGTATGACTGGTGTCCCCCTAAAAGGGGCTGGAGACAGACAAGCCCACAGGCAGAATGCCAAGTGCAGAGACACAGGGAGAAGGTGGCCCTCTACAAGCCAAGGATGGAGGCTGGGGACACATCCTTCTCTCTCGGCCCTGCTAAGGCAATGACCGCGCTGACCTCTTGGTCTCAGACATCCCACTTCCAGAACTGTGAGGAAACCCGGGCAGTCGTTTAAGCCATCCAATCTGGGGTACCTGGTATAGCAGCCCCAGTACACTCGTGCCCTGGAGGACTAGCCCCATCTCCCAATAGGCCCTTTTCAGGTGCCAGGGATTTGCTCATCCCAGTGCTGACCACATGGCACCAAGACGGCACCTCCCACCAGCACCCCAGCCTCACAGGGAGGCATGGATCACGTCATCATTATCACCTAGCACAAGTCTCAGGGGCCTGAAGGATATGTACATATGTGTGTCGAAGGGACAGGTCCCTCTGGCTGGTTAGTACTTGACATTACAGCTTCGTCCTCTTATAAACTGTCACATGCCAACACTCAGTGGTGTCAAAAGCTGGCCACAGAGTTAGAGCCAGATGGCAGTGACACCCACTGTCAACACTCCCTCTGACTCCTCCCATAGGCCCACCCCGTCTGTCCTTGGGACACAGCTCCGAGACTGCAGTCACTGCCAACCTGAGCGTCAAGGACATCTGCCAGTTCCCGCTTCCTCTGACAGAGAAGGAGTTTACGCTTTAGCTCGTGGGCCTTCTTCTGTAGCTTCTCCGTCTCTTTACACATTATTAACAAATTCCTCTCTGCCTTTTCTTCGAACAGAGCAAGACCATTCTCCATCTGTCAAGTGCACAGCAAGAGCTCAGGCTGGTGGGAACTCCATCCCCGGGGCCCACAGAGGCTGCCCTTCTCCCCACAGCGCACGTGAGCGAGGTTCTGTGGTCACCTTTACGGTCAGTAGAGTCAGAAGCAACGTTTGGGATTCCATCATTTCCATTGCCTCAGACAGGTCCTTGAGGAGGAGAAAAAGACACTTTTGGTTGACAATGAACTGGTATAAACCTAGCTCACTCTTCCGGGAGAGCAGAAGCCTAACTTTTACAAACCCTGCTTAATTCAGTAGTTTGATGTGTGTCAAGCTGCTGTTTCTATCTTCTCCTTTAGTCTTTTTGGGCGCTCTGCAAGAAGGAAGAGGATGGTCTGGCCCTGTCCTGTGGTTGGCTAGTTGAGGGCCAGGTAGGGGGCATGTATCCAATCAGCACCACACTAGAGGCAGGACTCAGGCCTCCCACTCTAGTGAGACCACAACCCCGGTGTCCTGGCCTGGCACCCAGGGCTTGGCCTAGTGTCTCCCCTAGCACAGCATTAGCAAACAAGGGCCCAAATCTCATTTTGCACATATCTCGCTTTTGTAACTATTCCTGTATGCATACTTGGGGCAACTCAAACTCTACGAATATTCTGAGAACATGTATGGTCTTGGGGTTGTCCTAAAATGCATGGCTGGCTTGCTCCATCTCAGAGCTTCGGGATCTGGGATGGCATGTGCGCAGGATGGGAACTAGGACCAGACCTGTCTAATTCAGCAGCTTCCCTTTCGATTCACTTACTGGGCTCTTTCTCTGTGAAGCAGAAAATGACATGGATTCGGTTTTCTTCGACATCGTTTTTTCTAATTGCGGAGTCTTTCTAAGCATACTTTTGTCTAAGATCGAGAAGAGCATTTTGAAAGTGAGAAGAGCACATTTAGGAAGCCCCCTGAGATGCACCATGAGTTCTAGCTGGGGAAAGCAGGAGCAAGGTGAATGACTTACCATTGATGGCCGAGAGGTCCAGGTCAGGGGGGGCCGTGCCGTGCCCTTCCAGCAATGTGGACTGCAGGTCGCCCTTTCCAACTCCACTGCTGTCTGTGGGCCCAGTGAGAACCCCCGGGGTCAGCACAGTCTGCAAGGTATTGCACGTCTATGCCGGGAAGTAGGCAACTTTTTGGTATACTACCACTTGCTTGCAAAAAGCCAGCATCTTGTGAGGCTAGCAGTACAGAAGAATGAAGTATCTCTGCAAATTCTGAGCCAGCAAGGTGAATATATTTCAGAGTAGAAGCAGAAAAGAGACACACGCTCTATAACCCAGGGATGTGAATACGCCTTGCTGCTCAGCTTCATAAAAAAACGCTGTTCTGGATAGGAGTCTGACACCTGCCACACACTTGTACTTCCTTATGCTTTTACCTTCTCTCTCCAGCAGCTTCTGGACTGTTCTTCCTTGGGGGTTCCCTTCATCTTTACCCTTTACTTAACAATGTGAAATTATGCCTTACATCACCTAAAATGGGCAGTGGGGTACCGCAGGCTTCTGCTAAGCCAGGGCTCCAGTGGGCCACAAATCAAACAAATGGCAAGCAAAATACTCTCCGTCGTGTTAATAACGAAATAGCAAGTGACTTAATGAGCACCCATGCAGCTGAGAAAATGAGTATGCGAAAATAAAGAGCGAGGCCATAGTAATGTGTAGGGCGTAGTACCCTTTGTTAGAATTTCTGAAGACTTCCAGATACACAGAAGTCTGTTAACATTCTGGATAAGAGGGTGGAAACTTGAGATGGGAGACTGGACTTTTTATTGCTAGTGCTTTTGCACTGGTTATATGTTTTGTCAAGCTAGTGTACAGCACATCCATCGAGAAAAGTAATTTCCTCTTGAGCTATACAATAGGACTCAGGCAAGCAGTCCCTGTCAATTCTCACAGTTATGTCTAAATTATGGTTTCTCAGCCTTAATGCTACTGACATTTGGGGCTGCACAATTCTCTGTGCTGGGGCTGTCCTGGGTGCTGGAGGCTGTTGAGGAGCATCCCTGACCTTACCCATCAGACATAAGTGGTATTATCTCCCCCATCAATCAAAACCACCAAGAGTTTCCAGCCATTTCTAAGTCTGAATCACCTGCAGGTGAGAACCCTGATTTTAAGATGTGGTTGACCCAATTTCTGACCCCTCTGAATTTTACAGCAGATTTCCTGGCCTGACACACAGCCTTCAACCCAACTGCATGGGGAAAGACTACAAAGCCAGCTCCAGTTCCTTGTGCTGCTTCTCAGTCATGCCTGGATCAAAGAACAGCACAGATGCTGAGCAAACATCCAAACCAGGACCAGCAATGTTCTAAACCCCAAAAACTTAACTACTAGTAGTCTGCTCTTGATTGGAGACCCTACTGATGACAAAAAGTCAATTAACACGTATTTTCCATGTTACGTATACTATAAACTGTATTCTTATAATAAAGCTAAAAAAAAGGAGAAGCGTTAAGGAAATCATAGAGAAAATACATCTACAGTACTGTTAGAAAAAACCCCTATGTGAGTAGACTCATGCAGTTCAGACCCATGTTGTCCAAGGATCAACTGGATTTCATTTTTCCCATGAGACTCACAGTTGTTGCCATCTTGAAGTGTTTCTTGTGAGCCAAAAAACAGTTTTGCTTTTTGTGAACTGCTTTCTTGCAAAAGCGCTGCCCATTATTGCTGGAGAAGTGGGCATGTGAGGGGCCGGATGGAGTTCTACTCTGGAGGAGGGGTCTTGCCATACGTCTAGGATGAGCATATTGACTACGACTGGACACCAAATACACAGGAATGATCTGAATGGCAACTCGTGAGTAAGTTTCCACCCTCCTTGTCTATATTTTCCATTTTTTGTTTTACAACGAACACATGTCTACGATCAGAAAAACTGCAGGAAAAAAAAAAAAGAAAAAAGAAAAACTGCAGGTTTTTAGATATCACTTTGGTGACAGCTTCTAGAACCATTAAGGGTTAGAAGGAAGAACAATTAACCATTAGAAGGAAGACCTAACCCAAGGTAGTGAGAGGCAGGAAGATGAGGCCTCACATGCTCTTGGAGTCCTGCCCTAGGAGTTCCACCCAGAAAATGGTCACACACACCTCTACTCCTCTGGAGCAGGTGAACTTTCCTTCCACCTTCAGGCATCTTCCCAATGGTCTTCAATGTATCTGCTGCAGAAGCCTGTTAGGGGAATACACGACCCTCAGGATTCAGGGGACAAGACCCCTCCCCTTCATGTGGCCTGCGCAGTTTGCATCTACTATTACTTTGAGGTCAGGGACAGAGTTCAAGTTCTGACGTTTAGTTATATATATGAGGAATTAATCCAAAAAGATACCATCATATGCATAGAATGTAAGGAACCCCCAAATGTTTGCAAGTGATGATTTCTGACATGGTTCCAGGTGACTGATCTTCTGCATACTTTATGGTATTTGCAGAGAATGTTACTACTTTGGTCAACAGAAAAAAACAAAGTTTTTTAAGTATCAACCTTCAAAACCTATTTAAAAAAAACCAGCAATGCATGGAGCTAGCAAGCCATTACAATAACATATATGGAAAAAGAAAACCTTATAAAGAGTAAGAATATTTCAATGTGTAGGCACTACTCCTATTTAACCACCTACTGGAGGTTTGAGTAAGAAATAGAAGGCAAACAGATTGAAAAGAAATAAAACTCTCTACTTACAGATATGGTTCACAAAGAAAATCCCAAATGCTACTAAAACTAGTAAGTAAGGGGTGACTGGGTGGCGCAGTTGGTTAAGTGCCTGACTCTTGACATTGGCTCAGGTCATGGTCTTAGGGTCGTGAGATTGAGCCCTATGTGGGGCTCCAGACCCAGCACTGAGTTCACTTGAGATTCTCCCTCTCTCCTACACTTGCATGCATGTACTCTAATAAATAAAATCTTTAAAAAAACAAACTAGTGAGTTTAGTAAGATTGCCGGATACAGGGGTCAATATAAAAAGATCACATTTTGGCACACCTGGGTGGCTCAGATGATTAAGCATCTGCCTTCAGCTCAGATCATGATCTCAGGGTCCTGGGATCGAACCCTGTGTCTGACTCCCTGCTCCATAGGGAATCTGCTTCTTCCTCTCCCTCTCCCCTCTGCTCATGCTGTCTTTCTCTGTCTCAAATGAATAAATAAAATCTTTTTTTTTAAATTTTATTTATTTACTCATGAGAGACACAGAGAGAGATAGAGAGGCAGAGACACAGGCAGAGGGAGAAGCAGACTCTACACAGGGAGCCCAACGTGGGACTCGATCCTGACACTCCAGAATCACGCCCTGGGCCAAAGGCAGGCGCTAAACCACTGAGCCACCCAGGGGTCCCATGAATAAATAAAATCTTTTTTTTTTCTTTATTTATGATAGTCACACAGAGAGAGAGAGAGAGAGAGAGAGGCAGAGACATAGACAGAGGGAGAAGCAGGCTCCATGCACCGGGAGCCCAACGTGGGATTCGATCCCAGGTCTCCAGGATCGCGCCCTGGGCCAAAGGCAGGCGCCAAACCGCTGCGCCACCCAGGGATCCCGAATAAATAAAATCTTAAAAAAAAAAATCACATTTCTGGCAATGACTAACTCTGGAAAGTACAATTTAAAGACAATATCATGTGCAATCTCTCAGCAAGAAAAAAACAAAACTATATATGGTGATAGGTGTTAACTAGACTTACTGTGGCAATCATTTTGCAACATACACAAATGCTGACTCACTATACTATATACAGTATACTATATACTATACTGTATACTTGAAACTAATATAATGTATGTCAATCATAAGTCAATTTTTAAAATTTCTTCATTTAAAAAGAAAGAAAAGACAGTATTATGTACAATAGCACTAAAAAACAGCAAATACTTAGGTATAAACCTAAGAAAATATAGGGAAGATCTACATGCTGGAAACTACAAAATGCTGATAAAAATCCAACATGATAAACTAAATGGATAGGGGTACCATGTTCAAACATGGAAAGGCTTGGTGTTTTTAGGATGTTTTTCTCCCTAAACTGATGCAAAGATTCAATACATTCAAAATCCCAGCAGAAATTTGGGTAGAAAATGGCAAGCTAAGTCTAAAACTTATGTAGAAAAGTAAAGGAACAGGGTGCTTGGGTGGCTCAGTTGGTTAAGCGTTCAACTCTTGATTTCAACTCAGGTCATGACGTCAGGATCAGGAGATCAGGCCTCGCGTCAGGATCCTCAGTGTCAGGATCCTCAGTGTCAGGATCCTCACTGAGCGTGTGGAGATTGCTTAAGATTCTCCTTCCTTGGGCAGCCTGGGTGGCTTAGCGGTTTAGCGCCGCCTTCAGCCCAGGGTGTGATCCTAGAGACCTGGGATCGAGTCCTGCATCAGGCATGGAGCCTGCTTCTCCCTCTGCCTTTGTCTCTGCCTCTCTGTTTCTTGAATAAATAAATAAAATCTTTAAAAAAAAAAAAAGATTCTCTTTCCTTCTCTTCCCTCTGTCCCTCCCCGCTCACAAGGTGTGGGCTCCCTCTCTCTCTCAAAAGGGGGGGGAGGGGAGGGGAACTAAGAGAGCCAGTTTTGGAAAAGAATAGAGTGGAAGAATTCATAAGACTATAAAGCTACAGTAATCTTGGCAGTATGGAAGTGTCCTAAGGACAGACACAGAGAACAATGGGAAAAAATGGAGTCCAGAAGTGATGCATACAAAAAAGGTCAATTGCTTTTCAACAGAGGTGATGAGATAATATTATCAGGAAAGGAAATTCATTTCAACAAACAGTACTGGCTCAAGAGGACATCCATACTCTTAAAAATGAACTTCAATTCCATCATCACACCAGATACAAAAATTGATGCAAAAGGGATCATAGATCTAAATGTAAATCTAATATTATAAGAGTCATAGAAGAAAACATGGGAGAAAATATCTGTGATCTTGGTTTAGGCAAAGATTTCTTAGATAAGACACCAAAAGCATAATCCATAAAAACAGAAATCTGTAAGGTGGACTTCATCAAAATTGAGAACTACTGCTTCTTACAAGACACTTAAAGGAAGAAAAAAACAAGCTACACCACCAGGAGGAAATATTTTAATATCACCATAAATGGTTGGTATCCAAGTTATAGAAAGAGCTCTCAAAACTCAACAATGAGAAAACAAATAACCCAATAAAAAATGGGCAAAAGATTTGAAAGAACATATCACCAAAGATACAGGAATGGCCAATAAGCACATGAAAAGATACTCAATGGGCAGCCCAGGTGGCTCATGGGTTTAGCACTGCCTTCGGCCCAGGGCCTGATCCTGAGAACCCAGGATCCAGTCCGAGTCGGGCTTCCTGCGTGGGTCCTGCTTCTCCCTCTGCCTGTGTCTCTGCCTCTCTCTCTCTCTCTCTCTCTTCTTTCTCTCTCTTATGAGTAAATAAATAAAATCTTAAAAAAAAAAAGATACTCGAGATCATTAGTTGTTATGGAAATATAAATCAAAACCACAGCAAGATACCACTTCACATTTACTAGAATGGCTTCAATCTTTAAGTACCAACTGGAACTCTCCTCTCTGGCTGGAAGGAATGTAAAGAGCTGCAGCCACTTTGGGTAACAGTTGCAATTTCCTACAAAGTCAAAAATACACTTACCCTACAATTCCTCTCTTAGAAGAAATGAGAACATGTCCTCACAGAATCCCATGCAAAAATGTTTAAGTTGGCTTTGTTCACTTTTGTCAAAATTGGGAATCAAACCAAATGTCCAGGGGCTCCTGGGTGGCTCAGTCTTCAGGTTAGCAGTGACCTTAGGCACGGGTCATGATCCCGGTGCTCCTGGGAAACCCCAGCACCGTTGGGTTTCCTGTTTCTCTCTCTGCTCCCCACCCCCATGCTTGCTCTCTCTATTGCACGTGTGCTCTAATAAATAAAATCTTAAAAAAAAAAAAAAAAAGTCCTTCACTGAGAAATGGCTAAGCACACTATGGCCCACTCACACTGTGGAATATTCTTCAGCCATCAGAAGGAACCCACACTGTGACAGGCAACCACAGGGAAGGACTTCCTCTATGCGAAAGAAGCCAGATGCTAGAGGCTGCATCCTGTGTAACACCTTTTTAATGACGTTCTACAAAAGGCAAGGCTATAGGGACAGAAATCAGATCATTGCTGGGAGGGGCTGGGGTCAGCTTCATTGGAGAACCAAGGGATCTTGGGGGTGACAGACTGTTCCATATCCTGATTGTGGTGGGTCTGTGACAGGATGCGTTTGTTTTGCCGAACTGTATGCCCAAGAGTGCCACTTAGTAAATTCTACATCAAGAAATGTTAAAAAAAGAAAATGGACAAACTCTTAGAGATTGAAAATACTATAATGTGAAGACACACAGAGGTACTGTAAACAAGTATGCAAGGCAACACTAAAATTATGAAGCATGGACTGTGATCTTTTGTTGAAGATTACTTCAACAAAATAAATCACAGGCTCAGTAGGTTCATCAAATGTCAATGTGCACCTCTCTGGTTGGGGATGCTGACAGTGGGGGACGCTGTGTTTGTGGAGGGGGCAGGAATTATATGGGAAATCTCTGGACCTTCTGCTCAATTTCATTGTGAACCTACTCTACAAAAAATTAAGTCCAGGGCACTTGGGAGGCTCAGTCGGTTAAGCATCCAACTATTAATTTAGGTTCAGGTTATGATCTCAGGGTCATGAGATCAAGTCCCACATCAGACTCCACACTTAGCATGGAGTATGTTTGAGATTCTCTCTCTCCCTCTGCCTCCCCCACCCCCTGCTCACATGTGCTCTCTCGTTCTCTAAAAAACAAAAATAATAAAAATTTAAAAATTCAAAAAATTAAATCCCCTGGAAAAAAAAATCACTCCTAAGAAGTGATATCAGTTTGTGTAAAGGTTTCCTTTTTCCTCAAGTTGGATCTTAAGTTGATTATTTTTTAAAATTTATTCATTTATTAAGTAATCTCTACACCCACTGTGGGGCTCAAACTCACGACCCAAGAGCAGCATGCTCTTCTGACTGAGCCAGCCAGGCGCCCCTTCAGTTAAACATATTATTAAGAACTTGCCATTCTGCCCTACCAGAGTAAAAGGGAGAGAGCAGAAATTAACTGTTCACTGAATTTTATCAAAAACCAAATTTGAAGGCAGCCTGAGTGGCTCAGCGGTTTAGCGCCGCCTTCAGCCCAGGGCGTGATCCTGGAGACCCGGGATCGAGTCCCACGTCAAGCTCCCTGCGTGGAGCCTGCTTCTCCCTCTGCCTGTGTCTCTGCCCCTCTCTCTCTCTGTGTCTTTCATGAATAAATAAATAAAATCTTTAAAAACAAAAACAAAAAACAAATTTGGAAAATGGAATAACACTACCTTACCACATTCTCAGTACGTACACAATGAAACAAGATACATAACTGGGTCATCTACCGAGTGTTCCTGTGAAACGCCACACAAGGCAGGTGCTCATGCTGTTAAGTGCTTCATCTCTCATCATTTTCAATGGCTGCATGATTTTCATGGTGTGGCTACAGGGAGTTCACTAAACCCTGCCTCTAATCCTGGGTGATTCAGACCTACCGTTTTTTTTCCCCCCATAGTCCTTCTTTCAAATCCCGGTGTTTTTCTTTTTTTTTTTTTAAGTTTTTTTTTTTTAATTTTATTTATTTATGATAGTCACAGAGAGAGAGAGAGAGAGAGAGAGAGGCAGAGACATATGCAGAGGGAGAAGCAGGCTCCATGCACCGGGAGCCCAACATGGGATTCGATCCCGGGTCTCCAGGATCGCGCCCTGGGCCAAAGGCAGGCGCTAAACCGCTGCGCCACCCAGGGATCCCAACCCCGGTGTTTTTCAAATGCCAGCCAAGGCCAGGGACTGTGTGCTGGGCAGCCGGCAGAAGCGCTTCAGGACAGAATCCAAAGGAATTATCAAGTTGAAAGAAATAATTTCAGGTTTTAAGAGAGATCATGTCTTTGCAAAAGGCATTCGGGACCATGCTGCACTTGGCTCGTGTGACTCGTGTCAGGATTCCAAATCTCACAGAACTCCATTCAGAACATTCAAACAAGCGTTGTTACCTTTTTGGTGGTTTTCTTATCGTACTGCAAGTAGCGGGACTCAACCACTCTTCCACCTGTGGGGAACACGCCGTTGCTTTCTAAAGAGACTGCAACAGTGGAGTGTGAGGCCCAGCACCCCCACCCTGCCATCAAGAGCCCAGTACTATGGGCCCTCCGTGATCAACAGCAGGAACACCGGAGCTGCTCTCAGATCCTGTCCTCCAGCGTCCTCGGGCACGTATGGGACACCTACTATATACGAGAACACATACGGGTTACCTATGGTTTATAAGTCCCTAGGCCAGGGACAGAGCCCCAGAGAGCTGCAGGAGCTATGATTAAGGAACGTAAGGGAATATACAAAAAGCAGAAAGTGAATTCAAGGGGCAGGGACAGGAAAAAAGACCCTTGCAGGGGGCACCTCTTTGCCACCTGCTCCTCCTCCTTTCCCAACTCACTCCCTGTGGTCAGGACCCCAACTACCCCTTCCTTTACCTGAGTCTACATATGCCCCACTCATGGTATGGGCCCTTCATACCTCTTTACTTCCCTACCTTGCTCAGGACCTCTTGGGAGACGTGTTCAACACCAAAGTCGTATACCTTGGTGACAGCCCAGCCCCAGGTCTCCCTCACTCCATGCCTGCCTCATACTAAGGGGCTTTCTCACAATGGCCCCAGTGATCACCCACAGTCGTCTGCTCTGTTCCCCCACCCCTCTCCCAGACCCTCCCTTGGACCTACCTTCTCTTCTCACTGCTCTCACACGGGGTCCATCCCTCCAGTTAGCTAGTGACCAGTAACTACTTCACTGGGAAGGCAGCAGAAGCAGCCCCAGGAGACTCTCCCACCTCAGCATGTAGCAGTCAAATTCAGGGCCATATCCTGGCCCCCACCATGTAGAGGGACATCAGAGTAGAGCCCAGCCCTCACCCCTCTCCCTCTGCCCTAGCAAACCCCACCCTCAGTTCCTCTCATCAATGGTCTTCTTGTTATTTCTCCCCCCACTACACCTGCATCCCCTACTTCTCCACTCTCCTTTACAATGCCGGCTCCTCTACCTCTACTCTCTCCTGAATTGCACTCGTCTGGACTGGCTCTCATGATCACCACTGTACCAAAGAAAAACTCCTTTCCACAAGACTGCTGAGATCTCCCTGCTCCAAAGCCCACCAAACCATTCTCAGTACCCACGGTGAACACAGCACTTGCTGGCGCCCTCCTCCCTGAAATATCCCATGTCCTCCAGGCTGGCTGCTCCGCTGGTGGCTGAGAATGGGCTGCCTTGCAGGTCCATTAGCTAGTGAAGCCTGAGCACCCCCACGTACCTCGCAGATCTCATACCCCTGAGGGACCCCCCTCTCACCTCACTGCCCCCACTCCTTCTGTTCCAGCCACCATGACCACTTTTGCTGTTGCTCCAACCAGAGGGGATACTCCTGCACCTGCCCTCCTTCCCAGCTCTGCTCAGTCCAGCATCTCCCTTGGACCAGGAAGTTATCCACGTCCTGCTGTTTTGCCCACATCATCCAACATACCCTGTGTGTCCTTACTTCTCCATCTGATGCACTGCCTGTGTCTCAGTCCACAAGCCCCGAGGGCCAGGACTTCTGTCTGTTTTGCTTGCAACTACAGCCCACCACCCAGCAGGGAGTAGGTGTTCAGCCATGCATCTAATGCATAGTTCTACACTTTTTCTAGGTACCTCCAGAGCTTAGGGCTCTTTTTAATGAAGAGACCCAGGAAGAGGCCATGGTTAATGTCATACAGATAGCTTAACAATTTGGCTAAGTGACATGGTGATTTCAACTGGATCTTCATGCCAGGATTTCATCTTTTGCTGGAGGTATGGTCACAATCCTGAGTGGAAAGGAGGTGCATCCATAGTTAATGGGCAGCATGAAGCTGGGAAAGGAGCTAGTGGTTGCTCTGAGCGAGCCCCAGGCAAGAAGAGCCAAGCCTGCTCAGTCAGCCTGTCTGAGTGGGCTAAGACAATAAGGCAGGAGGCACTTACGGGTCAGGGCCAAGACCAAGTGGGTATCCAGGGAAGAAAATCAAGACCTACCAAGGGTGGGCCACTGGATGTCCAGCAAGGGATCAGGGCAAATAACATCCCCATTTCTAAGCACGGGAAGCCATCGTGCTTTTAGCCTGATACCATCCGCAAAGGGTTCCCTCCTCTAGAAGGATCAGAGGCCTGGGATTCCCTGGACAGTTGAAAAGCAGTTTCAAGTTTCCAGAAACTAGAATGTACATATTTGTTTTAAACAGTAGTGGATTTTCCAGAGAAGCAATGTTATGACGAAGGATATAATTTGTGTTCAAGAACTAGACCACGTGTAAACATAATAGATGTTATAAGCAAGATCATCAAACAATGCTGTAACGGATGAACCTCCAGTCACTTGAACCAAAATGCTGCTCTAAGTTCTCTGAGACACGCACTGGCACACAGCATACTTGAAGAAAAATAGTTCTTTGTGTCAGAGGCTTCAGCTCCAATGAAGGAGATCCTTGAGTCTACTGCCCAAAGTGGCACTGCCAAGAGTCAAGGGAGGTTGTTAACAGTGACTCCAGACCCATAGCGGGACACCAGGTGATGTGTGGGCACCCCCGAGAAGTACCTCAGGGTGTACTCTGTAAGTACACAGAGAAGAAACCGAAGACTCTAATGTTTGCTAATGAATTCAGCTCCTGCTCTCCTCACCCATACTTCCTAGTGGTTGGTCCTGAATACAGCCTGTGACCCCCACTGCCCTGGATGACCTCCGCCAGGTCCTCTTGCACCCCTGGCTGCATGGCTGGGTGACCAGACTCAGAATCCCCCACGGTGTGACTAGAAGGAAATAAAGCCCTAGATCCCCTGCTCTGGCCTGTTTTTCTCTTCTCCAACAGCACTTAACTGAAGCTGGATCGTAAACTCAAAATTTTGCTCACCTTGTGGTCTTCTTCCTTTCACCTTAGCGCCACCACCGGGAGTACTGGGACCCCCTGAGGAAGGCTTCCTAGAAGAGGGAGATGGGGGTCTTGTTAGTGTAGTTACGTAGTTGGCTAAGCTCAGGGAAGGCAGCGAGGAGCCTGGGTTTCCTAGGGACAACTCAGTCTCAGCATCCCCAACAGCCCCCCGCCCCCACACTTATGTCTACAAGGCAGGGCCAACTTGACTGGAACAGACACACAGAGCCTCTGCCCAGCTAAATCTGAGAAGGGCCCAGAGCAAGGAGAGCGAGAAGAGCAAGCAGGTTTGCCAAGCCTTAAAGATCTCAACTTAAGTCGGGGGGGTTCATTAATTCATCAGGCATTTATGCCTACCGTATGCTCCTGGTGATGCTGAGGAACAAGAGATAGAGCTCCTTACCTGAGAGGGAAAAGCAGCATCCTCCTGTCAGGCAGTGTGAAGAGTACCCCAGACACGTAAAGAGGTGAGGGGAGATGAGAGACAAAACCCTGTTTGCTTGGGTACATGGGAAAGGGACAAGGGCAGAGGAGAATGTGGAACTAGGAACTGATCGGCCCTATGGCTTCACTGGAACCAGAGGAAGAGAGAAGGCGGCTGGGCTGGGCTGGCAGGATTCAGACTTCCCAGCTTAGGGTTTAGGCCTGTCCTTCTAGCCTACCTACTGGCAATCTTTCCCTGTAAAGGGCCAGACAGCAAATATTTTCAGCTTTGTGGGCCATGTATTCCTGCCAAGAAATAACAAATCCTGAGTGTTATTCACCCCTGAAAAGAAGTAAAATATGGATACATGCTAAAGCAGATGAATTCAAAAATATTATCCTGGGATGGGGGAACCTGGGTGGCTCAGTTGCTTAAGTATCTGACTCTTGATTTCTGCCCAAGTCATGATCTCAGGGTTGTGAGATAGAGCCTCAAGGCAGGCTCTGCCCTCGGACTTGGCTTGAGATTCTCTCCCTTAACCCCTTCCCCTGCTCGTGCACGCTCTCTCTCATAAATCAATCTTAAGGAAAAAAAAAAAAGAACCACTTAAATTAAAAAATATTATCCTGGGGGTACCTGGCTGGCTCCGTCCATGGGACATGCGACTCTTGATCTTGGGGTCATGAGTCTGAGCCCCACATTGGGGATAGCGTTTACTTAAATAAATAAATAAAATCCCTTAAAAAAAAAAAACTATCTTGGGTGAAAGAAAACAGCTAAATAAGGCCACATATTGTACGATTCCACATATCTGAAATGTCCAGAACAGGCAAAGTGAGACAGAAAACAGATTGGTGATTGTCAGGAGCAGAGGGGTGGATGAAGAACAGGGAGTGACTTCAAATGGATACAAAGTTTCCTTCTGGGCTAATGAAAATGTTCTGGAACAAGCCAGAGTTGGTGGTTGCACAGTGTGACTGTCTTAAGGCCATTAGATCCCTCACTAAAATGACGTTATATTGGGACGCCTGGGTGGCTCGGTGGTTGAGTGTCTGCCTTTAGCTCAGGGCATGATCCTGGGGTCCAGGATCGAGTCCCACATTGGGCTCCTTGAGGGAGCCTCTTCTCCCTCTGCCTGTGTCTCTGCCTCTCTGTGTCTCTCATGAATAAATAAAATCTTTAAAAATAAAAAATAAAAAAATAAATGACGTTATGTACATTTCACCCCTATTTAAGGAAAGAAAGAGCACAGACCAGTGCAATAGGAAAGAGGGAACCTTGAGGCAGGAAACTCGGGGATGCCTCCCAGGTGTCCAGTCTGAGCAACAGTGTCCCGCCACCAACAGAGGCCAGCAACTCAGGAGGAGCAGACTGAGGGGCGGGGCAGGGGCTTGAGTGCTGTATCCCTTGCCAACATCAGGACCCAAGCTCCACTGGTCACAAAGCTGTGGTCCCCTTGCTCAGCGCACTGCAGCCGTCTCCTGTGTAGCAGGTTCTGAGAACCCCAAGTGAGACCCAGGCAAGGAAGAGCAAGGCCTACCGGGTGAGTGGGCTCAGACAATCAGGCACGTGCTGGGCCATAGTGGGGAGAGGCAACCAACCAAATAAAGGCTCACTGGGTGTCGGCAGCTCTGTTTCTTCACAGAACCCTCCCAGTCCAACAAATAACCTCACTGTTGGCCTGCTTTATCCTCGTTTTCCAGACCAGGACCCAAGTGTTTGAACTGGTCACCCCTGGCAAGTCTCACCGCTGGCAAGGGACAGAACACGGATTCCCTATGGGGTCCGAGCCAGGGCTGTGGAGTCAAACCAGATGGGGGTGGTGGGTTCACTAACTACACCTGTACCAGCCTCAGGTACTAATGGCAATCTCACAGGGAGGGTAACTGACCCTGGAGAAAACACAAGTGATTTCACCTGGCCTATTAAACCTCAATTTGTACTGGCACAATAAACACCAGCCGAGTGAACAAATAAAATAAACCCGGCCCAGGAATCATGCCTGGCACCGGTAAGTGGTCAAAGTCTGTCTGTCTTGTTCTTGCTGTGTGACCCTGGACAAATGACCTTCTTTCTCTCTTTGAGTCTCCGTATCTCATTTTTAAAGGGGAAGCACAGAAAGGAGGGGTTGGCAGGATTAAAGGAGGTAACTTGAGTGGCCCAGCGCTCGTCCGCTATAAAATCGCTGCAATCGCGACAAATCACATTCGAGGGCCACGCACTGTTCTAAGGGCTTTGTAAGTTTCGCCGGCGCCCTACAAGGTTGAGCCGCGGCGACATTCTCCGGGTTTCGCGGTGGAGGAACGCGACGGCACAGAGGCTGAGCCGCTAGCCAGGGATCGCCCCGCACCCACACAGACCACTGGGGACTCGAGGTCTGGTTCCGCGCCCACGCTGCCGAGCATGCGCAGAAGCCGCCTCCCGCCCCCCAGAGCCCGGGCACCCTCGGTGGGTCCCGAAGGGGTCAGGTGCTCAATCCCCAACTCTGCCGTCCTTCTTCCTCCCCCAGTTCCCGGCCATGGCGCGGCGCACTGGGCGGCACCTCCAAAATCCAGACCCGCGGGGCCTCGACTCACCCAGCGCCGCGCCCTGAGGAATCCGCCATTTCCCGCCTTTAACTCAAAGGCCGGCTCCTCAAGCCCAGGTCCCCGCCCCTTCGCCCCGGGCCGGGCCATCCTGCGCCGCCCTAGCAGGGGTGGCCGCGGGCCTCGGGAGCGTGCCTGCGGGTGCAGCGGGCGGCCCCTGCGCGCGCGCCTCCCTGTCTTCCCCTCCCGTTTGGTTTCACCCACCAGCGGGAGGAGGCGGCGTCCCGAGCCCGTTGGGAGTGGGCGGGTCTTCGCGGCGCCCCGCCCCGCCCCGCGGCGCGCTGGCGTCACGCCCCCGCCCCGCCCCCCCGGAACCCGGAAGCGGGAGCGCGCGGGGGAGCGGCGGGCGCGGCGGGGCGGAGCGGCCCGACCAGCGGTGGGCGGTCGGGCGGGCGGGCGGCCGGGCAGGGACCCGGCCCGGGACCGGCGGCGCGCGGCGGCCGAGGCCCAGGTGAGTGGCGGCGTCCGCAGGGTTGGGGGCTCGATCTCGAGGCTCGCGTTGGCGGGTTGCCTGGTAGGGTACGGAGCTGAGGGCGAATACGGGGAGGCGCGAAGGCTGGGGTCGAGCGAGCGGGAACGAGCTGGGGGGTCGTGAAGGGGCTGCAGGAGACGGAGCGGGAGCGGGACGGTCTAGGAGAAGGGTGGTGGAACGGGCCCGGTGAGGGAGCTCGCGGATGCAGAGGGAGCAGGTCTGTGGCTTTGAGCGGCTTCTCTGAAGAGGACGTGGCTTTAGTGGTGGTTGAGGGGTCGCAGGAAACGGGGCTGGGAGGGGGAGAGGCGAGGAGGCGGGGTTGAGAGGCCCAGGCGGGGGACGTGGGGCAAGGCCGGCGGGGGGTTAGCCGGGGTGCGCCTGGGGGAAGGGGTACAGGACCGCCCTCGGCTGAAGGGGTAGTGGAATAGTGCCTGGGGCGGGGGAGGCGCCTGGGATTCTGTGGGTGCTCAGATTCTATAGGTCTGAGCCCGTCGGTGTGGTGGCCGGCGGAATGGGGAAGGGGGAGATGGGGGATGGGAGAGGAGGAGAAGCCTCGGCCACTGAGAGCCAGTTCAGAGGGGGCTGAGGACGAGAGCAAGGGACAAGAGCAGCCCGGTACAAACGTTGGGGGCAGCCCATGGGATTTTGGGGCCCCCTTCCTCTGGATTCATGTTTTCCAACTTCACTCCCCCAACCGCTGGGTAACTGGGGTGAGTCCCAGTGCCCTCTGGGCTGGTATTCTGGTATTCCAGACTAGAAAACCACACCGCTCTCCTCCTAAGACAGGGCTCTCCGGAGCCCAGGGGTTCCAGGGAGCAAGGAAAGAGCCTCCAGACCTCACGGGGGCCGGAACTGGGTTTGAGATGGGAGGGAGGGGGTGTGCACACATTCGCGTGTGCGAGGCTGTCACCACCTCCTCGGAGTTGCATCCTTGGACTTAAATGGGTAAAACGACATACAGGAAATCTGTCCCCCGGCGGCTGTGAGCTCAGCCGGGGAGAGGCAGGGCAGCCGGCAGCCACGGGGCAGCAAGCCGGCGTGCTCTCCCTTCTCCCCGCTCCGGGTGCCGTGTAGGCCAGGGGTCTTTAAGGGAAAGCCTCTCCTGCACCTCTTTGTCTGAGGTAGGAGCTGCTGGGGACATTGTGTCTTGAAGTTGGAGGGTCCCAGCTCCTACCTTCCTGAGGTGTATTCTGGTCTTGGAATCTGCAGACTTAAGGCATCCAGGAGCAGTGGGAGGCCTCGGGCAGCTGAGCTGGGAAGTTGTTCCATCGTCTGTTGGGCCCGGCTTTGGCAAGGGCCTTGCACTGGGCGGTTTTAATTGGCATTAATTTCTCTTCTTTCCTAACCGTGGGGATCCTTGTCCGGCATCTGCCAGAAGGGCCAGGGTGGGGGCCTGCATTTGTAGCTTGTTCAGGAGATGAATCCGGATAGATTGAATGTAAAGAGGGCCACAGAGAGATAACTTCTCTCTTTACTTCCAGAATGTTCTGGCCCTTCTGGAAAGTAGCTTTTGGCCCTGCTTGCTCCAGGGCACATGATCAGAGCCTGAAATCATGCCTCCTACAGACATTGAGTGTGGGCTTGCCCAGGGCAGGACACCCCTACCCCCCCCCCCCCCCCCCCACCAGTGAACAGGACTGGAATCTTCTGGGTGCATGGCCCTGGCCCTTGTCTCCCTGTACCAGGAGTGCAGCCAGGCAGGCTCTCTTGTCAGAGGTGCCCACCTCCGTCAAGTCTCTTTGTCTGTTTCTTCACCTGCTAAATAAATGGGTTGGCTTCAGTCAGCGTTTCTCAACCTTAGAACCCAAGCCCTCTTGAAAATCTTAGCATCTCTGGCACAGAGCTCCCTTGTATTTTATGCAGCCTCTGACCGGTGAATCCCGCTGCAGGATCCTGCTTTTGTTCCCATTGTATAGTTTGTATCCAAAAATGACTTTCTTTTACCATTCCTCTGTTCCTCCAGTCCTTTATCTTCTACATGGAAAATTCCACAAATTCCATGTTTGCTTTTGCACGCTATACCTGTTCACAAAGGTTCAGCTACACCTTTCTGGTGAGAAATCCCTGAGTGAGACCCCTCGCCCCCCTCAGTTCCAGGCCTCTGGCTCAGAGAAGAGGGTAGCAACTTGGGCATGTCCCCTCTCAATTTGGCTGTGTGATCTATTTTCTTTCCCCAACAGAGGCTTGTTAATTTGCCACTTCCCTTTCCTCATCTCCCCAAAGTTGTGCCTTGGGTGGGCTCAGGAGTTCAATAAAGCAAGGACTGATCCTCCTTCCAGTACTGGGAGCTGGGCCCTGGGGACAGAGATGAGCCTTCATGCCCTGGAGGAGGAACATTCTAGTGCTCTCACTGCCACAGGAATAATGAAATTCAGAGTGAGTGGTCAATGCAGCCACAGAGGTGGTGCAGGAAGTTGTGAAGACAGAATCAAGGATGACCAGTGCAAGCTTCAGGGCTTGGGGGATTCTGACAGGTTCCCTTGGAAGAGGTGGCAAGGTCCATTCAGGCCTTGATGGATATGGAGGTGTTAAATCAAACCAGGAAGAGGGAATTGCACGAGCAGATCCCTACACAGCTCTGCCCTTTATTGAGCATCCTTTGGGATGGGTGCTTTTATACCCATCTCTTTTATTCTGCCAACCAGCAGCAAGCAGCCCTGGTTCTTTTTTCAGTATGGAAACTGAAGCTCAGGCAGGTGGTGCCTCCAGAGATGGCTCCCTGGGCTTTCCCGAAAGATGAAGGATCATCAGTAACCTCAAATTGGCAAAGACCAAATTGCCAGAGCATAACTTCTCAACTGCAGCACCATCTACATTGGGGCTGGGCTTTTTTTTTTTTTTTTCTGTGGAAGCTGTCCCACGCCTTACAGGCCATCAAGCAGCATCCTGGGTCTCCACCCACTAGGCACCAATAGAATACACCCCTTGAGTCGTGACCACCAAAAAATGTCTCCAGATGTGACTGTGTGTCTCTTGGGGCGTAAGAACCACTGCTCTGTAGTGAGATCTGGTCATTGCCCAGGCTTACCTTTGCCTCAGTGGGTCTTTGGTGTTTGGTCAGTTCCCAGGGAACTGCTGCCAAGGGCAGGCATGGGGAAGAGCAGCTAGCAACTGAATCCTGCCATCTGGTCAGTTCTTAATCTAGAGTTCTGATAAAAAGAATGCACCATCAGGAAGGGATTGAGGGGGAGTTAGCATGCCCCAAGAATGGGTAGCAGAGGAGGAACAAGAGGTGAGCCAAGGCCGTCTTTGCTCACGGGAACAGCAAATGCCATTGTCTTTCTCTTTGTCTTACGACTGACCTGAATTTCTACAGGAACCGTCCCTTGTCTCAGAACAAACTGTTGCTTTTCTTCCGAGATTAGAGGTATTAGATTCTCCTCTCGAGAGCTACTTTGGAGGTGGCCCCAGATCCGTGTGGCTCTTGAAGCCACATTATCTTCTCCTGTTCGCCCTCTTGGCCCCAAGACACTGGCCTGTCCTCAAGCACAGACTGTGTAACTTTGGCTCTTCACGCGTCCTCCTCTGCTTGTTCCCCAACGAAGACATTGCTGTTTTAACTCCGTGGGAGGAAACAGCACGTTCTGGGGCCGCCCGACCCCTTCTGGACATTGCCCTCCCCCCACAACCAGTCCCCATCCACCAGCCCTTTGTGTGCCCAGCGTCCCCAACCCACTGTGCCAGGCAGCCCCTGCTCGGCCTCCCCGCGGAGCAAGACAGGCCCTTCTCTCTGCCCTCATCCGGGACGGACGGAGTAGCAGAACAAAGGGCTCTGTCTGAGCGCCACTGGGTCCCCGGCAGGCCCTGTCACTTCACCTCTTTTCAGTTTTGCCCAGAAAGGGCCTCAGAGATTAGACATGTCTCAGAAACACAGCCGGTGAGCTTGGGTTCTACTCATTTCCTCGGCGAGACTTTCTGAGCCCATGCCCGATGATAAATAAAGTAGTGATTCAAAGGTTGGGCCTGTGGGTTAGTCGAAGCAATGAATAAGCTGTCCGGGTCTGACTCACTCGTTTATGTCCCAGCTCTGCCCTGCTTCACGGGCTTATGTGTAAGAAGGGAGCCAGCTACAGGCATTTCATTACTGTCACTGCTGAGTGTAGGAGTTTCCCAGGGCCACTGGGATAAAGAACCACAGACAGTGCAGCTCAAGCAACAGAAATTTATTGTCTCATGGATCTGGAGGCCAGAAGCCCAAGATTAAGGTGTTGGCAGGGTCAGTTTCTTCTGAGGGGAGCATCTTTTCCAAGGCCTCTCTCCTTGGTGTTTAGTTGGCCGTCTTCTCCCTGTGTCTCCGGACCGTCTTCTTCTGCGTGTGTCTGTGTCCAACTCTCCTCTTGTCAGGACCCTAGTCCTGTTGAATCCAGCCCACCGTAGTAACTTCATTTTAACTCCATCACCTCTTTAACGATCCTATTTCCAAATACAGTCACATTCCACGGTGCTGGGAGGTTAGACTTCAACATAATGAATTGGGACGTGGGGGTGGGTGGGAGCCACTTCAGCCCATAACACTGGGTAAGGGACAAACTTCATTTTTATTAACAAAGAAGTTTTGGATAAACTGTTGCACCAACAGAGTTTGCTTTGTTGAGTCTTACTCATTTAAATAAACATCTTGAGGGAGGTAGGCAAGTTGGCCACATCAACTTCGGAAGCATCCCGTTAGGAATCTTCCAGATCTCGCACATGTCCTTACATTTGGGGTGCCTAGAGAGAGGTGATGACCCAGCTAGGGGAGGGGGTGGGGGAGAGGATCTCGTGGGCCTTTATAAGGGGTGTATTGGGATCCCTGGGTGGCGCAGCAGTTTAGCGCCTGCCTTTGGCCCAGGGCGCGATCCTGGAGACCCAGGATCGAATCCCACGTCGGGCTCCCAGTGCATGGAGCCTGCTTCTCCCTCTGCCTGTGTCTCTGCCTCTCTCTCTCTCTCACTGTGTGCCTATCATAAATAAATAAAATAAAATAAAAAAATTTATAAGGGGTGTATTTAGAGCCAGGCCTAGGAGACTATGCCTGCCTGGGGGCTGGCTAAGGTCTGTAATCTGGCGTACGGAGGTCTTGGTCCTCAATGTTGCCATGGTCATGGGAGGGGGATCTAAAAGCAACCCTGTTAATAAGCCAAAATGACTTTGGGACCAGCTGTTGCCTTAGGTGTTTGGACAAAAGAAGTTTCTGGAAGATCTGAAAATCATTCAGTGAAAAGTGTTAACGAGGCAGGTGCAGAGCTGGCTTTCAGGGTTACTGCGAGAACGTATGGCCCTTGCCTCTTTGCCTGGAGTGCAGATGTCAGGAGTTGTGCCCACAGAGAGGCACGCAGCGCCAGGCGAGCTTGTGACCAATCAGGGCTTGTTGGTGGAGGAAAAGACACATGAGAGCTCTCCCAGCAAGCCCTGGCAAAGGTCATCTCCCTCAAAGGCTAATGCCACTGCATCCTCACAAGTGGAGTCGGAGTGGTATATCTGCGACAGGCCTGCTGGGGCTTTGCCCCAAATCTTCCCACCTGTTTCTCTGAGCATCTCCATCCCGTCCTAGGATGGGAGGAAAGGAGGATCCTGAGGGATGATATTTGAAATGTTGCTTCTTTGGTCCCTGGGACGCCCCTGGGCCTTTTATTTCCTGGCAAGCAGGGTCTCTCGCCACAGCTTGTGAAGAAGATCGCTAGGGTCCTCAACTGTCATGTGGAGCTGTTTATCAAGTGCTATTGAGAGAGCAGGAGTCCCAAAGAAAGTGCCAGAGCTAAGCCCAGCCCATAGACCCTCAAAGAGCCATTCTCTCCCCTTGGCGGTCCCATAGGAGTCTGCCTGCTGGCTTCTCAGGGAGCAGAGATGAAGATGGAAAAGCTCTTGCTCCCTCATTCTAAATGTTACACAGTCAGGTGAACTTGGGCTTGGAATCTTGCTGATGTCTCCTGTGTCTGGGAGTCCCTGGGGACACCCTCGAGTGTGTAAATGTTGCTTTTCATATTTATTTAAATCACAGATTGTCACCCTCAGCATTAGTGATGCCTGGGCCTGGGTCATCCTCTGTGATGGGGGTTGCCCTGTGTGTTGCAGTGCATTGAACAGCATTCCTGGTCTCCACCAACTAGATGCCAGGTGCCCTCCGCCCCCTGCCCACACCCACCCCCCCAGTAGTGATAAGCCCAAAATGTCTCCAGATATCTCTTAAGTGTCCCCTTAGAGAAGAGTCAACCCTAGATTGAGAACTACTGATTTAGGGGTTCTGTGGGACCTAAGAGACTTTGTGTTCTATCATTATGTGGCTTGACTGAGATCCTAGGATGCTGCGCGCACACACGTAAATGCACCACAAGTGGGGAGGGAGAGAGGAGATAATTCACAGATGCTGAGAGGGGTCACCGTGTTTTGTACCATTTAACTCACCTGGACTT